ATTATCCTTACTTTATAGGCAGAGGAAGGAATTTTTTTTTTTTTTTGTAACCAAATACATCCTCTGACTTTTACCCTTCTTTTCATTTTTTCTTTCTTTGGTAAGGAAGAGGGGAGGGAGGAAGCTTGAGGATTAAAGTGAGTTCCATGAGAAATGCAGTCTGTCTACCTCCTGCAGCCAGGGTGAGATTGAGACAGATAGCCCTCAGCCAATACTCTTTATACACTTGCTCAACGTTTATTCTGAGGAAAGGCTGCTTGACGTCTAGGGGAAAGGTGAAGACAAAAGATATAGGTGACAGTGCTCAGCCTCTTCTTTGTTGTTCCAAGTAATTCAGCTCAGGCTCCAAACTTGCATACCCCTGTTAGCCAGAAGGAAAGCTCTGCAGTTGATCTGACTCACCCTCCTGAGGGCTTTTCTTCATTGCCTCACTTTTTCTCGCTACTTAGGATCTCCTTCCCTCCTGTGGAGCTTTACAGTCTTTTTACTCTGGTTATTTATGATCTATCTCCTTTTTCATTAAAACCAACTTATCCTGTCTCCTGGTGCCTCAGGGCACTACTGAAAATCTAGTAAGTGATTTCTTGATACAGAGGAATGGATTTTCTTTTACCTGGATTAGTGGGACATTCCTTCCATAGTTTTGGTCTTTCGAGATAATACCTTACTTAACTCAAGTTCTGTAATAGTGTGCAGGTGTTTCAGGCCACAGCATGTGGGTGTAAGAACTGCATATTGAGGACTTTTTATTTCATAATGTGCACACCACTCCATGCTATTGTGTCTTGCACAAAGACCTGTCATATGAAATCCTTTGTTTGAGATTTTAAAAAGCAGCTCTGTTTGTGGCATGTTTGGTAGCCAAAGGAATAATATCTTCACTTTGGAGCAAGCTTTTAAAAATCAATTAAAAGAAAGACAAACACTCAGATTTTAAAATGGGAAAAGGACCGATAAACATAAGAAAATTTTCAGTCTTATTAGTAATCAAAGAACAAATAAGACTAAAAATAAAATGTTTCCACTTGTCACATTGGCAAAGACTTTAAAGATGTTAATATCCAGCCTTGACAAATGTTCAGAGAAACTGACAGTCCTACACTGCTGGTGGGGGTGTAAATGAGTTATCTTTTCTGGAGGGTAATTTGATAATGTACTTAAAAACTTTTATAGCCTTTGACCCAGAAAATTCTGCTTCTAGTCATTTATTCGAAGAATACATTAGAGAAATCACAAAGAATTTTTTCCAACATCTTATTAAGAAAAATTTCAAACAAACAGAAAGGGTGAAAGAATATCTATATACCTACCACCTAAATTCTACAATTAACATTTGCTGTATTTTCTTTACCAGTTAACTATCTAGCTATTTATTTCTCTCCGTTAGCCATCTAGCTGCCCATTTTATTTTTTAAATGTCTTTCAGATTAAATTGCAGTCACCAGTACTCTTCCCCCTAACTGCTTCATTATGCGTATCATTAACTAGAGTTCAATATTTATTTGTGGTTTTACTTTATTTATTTGTTTTCTTTTTCTTTTGAGATAGAAGTTACTCATAATGAGATGAACAAGACAAATCTATCATTTCTGACAGATGCATGCACCTATGCAACCCAAACCCCTATCAAGATGATCAAGCTGCAGACCTTCACCATCACCCCACAAAGTTTCCAATAAATCCCTGCTTCCACCACCCCACCCAGAGACGAATTATTCCAATTTTTTCTACTATAAATTAGTTTTGTCTATTCTAGAACTTCATACACATATACCCATACAGTATGTACTTTTTCCTTCCATTCCTCCATATTTTTATAGTTTGTATTTTATTGCTAAGTTTTATTCCTATTGGCTGGGCTATTTCCAGGTTTTGCCTATTATGACTAAAGTGAAATATTTTTGTCTTTTTGAGCCTTTTTGAGGACAGTGTGTCCCCATGAGTGGAATCATTGGGTTTGTATATGTTTGATTTCATAAGAAACTGTCAGACCTTTTTCCAAAGTGGTTGTATCATTTTATACCTCCATGAAAAATGCGTGCATTTTTGTTGTTCTACAGTTTTGCCAGTACTTGGTGTTAGCAGTCTTAAATTTTGGCCATTCTGGTGGGTGTGTTGGGGGTATCTTGTTGTGGTTTTAATTTGCATTTTATTGATGACTAGTCAGGCTGGATGGTTTTTCACATGCTTATTGGCCATTCATATGTCTTCTGTGGTAACTTATCTGTTCAAATATTTTGCTCATTTTAAAAAAATTGTTTTTGTCTTTTTATTATTGAGTTGTAGAAATTCTTCGTATATCCTGGACACCAGTATTTTGCCAGATAAATGTTTTTCATGTATTTTATCCCAGTGTGTGGCTTGTCTATTTATTTTCTTAATGATATAATGAGCAGATGTTTTCTAATTTTGATAAAGTCTAATTTATCATTTTTATTTTATAGTTACTGCTTTCTGTGTTCTGTCTAAGAAACTTTTGCCTGCCCACAGGACATAAAGATACTTTTCTGTATTTCTGCTTTAGCATTTAGGTATATGATTCATTCTGAGTTCATGAGTTTCCAGTTATTTAAGCCTTATTTGTTAAAAAAACTTTTCTTTTTCCATTAGATTTCTGGGATGCATTTTAAAAATATTAAATGACCATATGAGTGTGGGTCTATTTCTGGATTCTTTATTCTGTTCAATTGATCAATTTGTCAGTTCTTATACCAGTACCACATTGTCTTGATTACTGTAGCTTTATTGTAGGTCTGTAAGTCATGTAGTATAACTCCTCAAACTTTGTAAAGATAGTTTTGGATCTAGGTTCTTTGCATTTTTCATATGTTTTAGAATTAGCTTTTAAAATTTTTATTTAAAAAATGGTAGGATTATGATTGAAGCTGTATTTAATATATAGCTCAATTTAGGCAGAATCGACATGTTAACAATATTGAACATCCATGAACATGAAATATGTTCCAATCCATGAACATGGAATATGTATCCATTTATACAGACTTTCTTTAATCTGCCTCAGCAATGTTTTATAGTTTTTGCTTTTGTTATATTTATTTCTAAATATTTTGTGGTTTTGATGTCACTTTAAGTAGAACTGCTTTTAAATTTCATTTTATAATTATTTGATGCTAGTGTATAAAAATACCACTGATTTTTGTGTATTAATCTTGCATTGTGCAACCTTGCTAAATTCACTTATTGGTTCTAGTACTCATTTTGTTGATCCCTTTTAATTTCATATGCAAACAATTATGTCTTCTGCAAATAGATTCAGTTTTATTTCTTCTTTTCTGCTCTTAATGCCTCATTTCTTTTTCTTGACTTTTATTGCAATAGCTAGGACCTCCAGTCTTGTTCTTGACCTTATGGGGAAAGCATCATCCAAACTTTATCTATTAAGTATGTTGTTATGATTTAAGATTTTATAGATATTCTCTGTCAGATCAAACCTTCTAATTCTGGTTTGCTTAGCCATTGTAACATAAGTCAGTGTTGAATTTTATCAGAATCTTTTTCTGCACCAGTTAAAATGACATATGGCTTTTCTCCTTTTTTCTGTTAATAGCGTAAATTACACTGTTTTCAAATGTTAAATCAACCTTTCATTCCTGGGATAAAACTCACAGTTCATTACCCTTTTTCATATTGATGTATTTGACTTGCTAACATTTTATTATGGATTTTTATATCTGTGCTCATAAGAGATATTAGTCTGCAATTTTTTTGTGTGTAACGACTTCTTCAGTTTTGATAATAGAATCATGCCCGCCTAATAAAACAAGTTGGGAAGCGTTTCTTCCTCACCTGTTTTCTGAAAGAGTGTTTGTAAGTTTGGTGTTGTTTCTTCCCTAAATGTTTGATGGGATTTACCGGTAAAACTGCTTGAGCCAGAAGCTTTCATTTTGGTAAGGTTCACATCACTTCACGTTTGGGGGACCAAGGCCACAGCTTGCTTTTGTCTAAATTTTTGAGGGGTTTAATTGAGGAGGGAGTACTTGCTGGGTTTTACAGCAATGAGAAACAGTGAGCTACTGATACATACAACAATATAGATGAATCTTACAGGCATTATTTTGTGAGAAAAAAGACAGACACAAAAGAGTACATATTCTATGATTCCATTTATATGAAGTTCAGTAACAGACAAAATTAATCTATGGTTTAAAAGTCAGTATAATGATCGCTTCTATGTAGGGGGACTCAAAGTAAAAACTGAGACCAGTTAGAGGTGAAAGCAAGCACTTTATCCAGAAATATTGAAGCTCTGAGCAAAATTGAGCTGGTATTCTTATACCAGCTGGGTCAAGGATCATGGTGGAAAAGCAGTGCAACCCAGGTCCTGGAAGCAATGGCATCTAATAGGAATGAGTCTACCTAGAGTCTAGATCTTGATTTCTATTTTGCAGTATTTCTGTAATTTTTGAGCTCAGCAAGCTCTGAATCAGGATGGTCCGTAGAATCTGCTTACAACCATCTGCTCCTTAAAGTTAATTGCTCCTTGGAATGTATTCTACTTTTCTTAGTCCCTGAAACTGCCTTTAGGCAAAGAAATTCAGTTCACAGTTCATGAAAGCAAAACACCTTTCATGGAGGCTATGAGAACGTGAGGGAGCCCAGAGTGCTGAAAATATCCTGTATCCTGATCTAGGTGGTGGTTACAGTCATATATACATGTGTAAACATTCACTGAGCTGTTTGTGTAAGATTTGTGCACTTACCGCACATGATAAACTCAACTACAAATTTAAAAATAAATTTATATGAGTATATTTTATTGCACAGAAAAATATTTCTATTATATCATTAAGTGAAAAAAGGCAAGTTATGCTAGAGCATTTTTCCCTGAGCTCACTTCTAAAATAATGTTTATATATAAGAAGAAAGAAGACTGGAAGAATATACTTCAAAATATGAGATTGTGAATTATTTTTAGTTTTGCTTTTTGCATTTTCTAAATTGTCTGTAATTCTTATATAACTCAAGCAGTCCAGAGTCTTCTATAGACTCCCACAGCTACCAGGCCTAGTAGTAGTAACCACAGCATTTATAACCTCTGACTCTGATGTACTGATGACACCATCAGTTCTACCAGACAACCAGAAGTAGCCATCTTCATCCATGATTCCTCTGTCCCCTGTGAGGTAAAGCATGTGGCCTCTTGCTGAAGCATATTCCTTCCAGCCCACCTGATAGAATAACAAATCCAGAAACCTACATTTAGACTACTTCCACAATCATTTACTGGTATAAATTGAACATTGTGGCTAACCTAAAGAGAGGTAGAAAAAAAATGACACAGGATCCCCACTCTCCTGGGGCTTCCCATACAGAAAACAATCAACATACAGGGAGATCTTTGCTGGGTCACCTCTTTTGGCTTCAGCTATCCCCCCACCTCCAAGCTGGAAACAGGGATAATGATGGTATTTTATTTAGAGCTTTGTTCTGAGGCTTAAATGAGTTAACACAAGCACAGCATTGAGCATAGAGCCAGGTACAGTACATGTAAGGGACATTGGCTACTATTTTCTTAGGCTCCATCCATCAAACATGATTATTACTCCTTGTCTTTGAATGGTGCCTTTAATTTCCACATTGCCCATAACTAACATTCCATCAGAAGAAGATGGTTTTGGATTAAGGTTCTTACCCCAGAAACACAATGAAACGTTAGTACAAATGCCCCTGTACATGAGGCAGCACCATTTTGCTTGGATATTCTGTGGAGTGTCCATAAATTCTAACAGCATTTGACTCTGACTGCCATAGAAACCACATGATCAGTTCATCCAAATTTTTAGATCTAATGGACAATCTGTTTATTAAATTTCTAATGAACTTCAGTAAAACACTGTGTAAGGCACTCATTCTCAAATAGCCCAATAATATCAGTAGGTATGTGAGATATCTGGGTCTACTCTTTGGATTTCTGTCTTATGGGTGAAAAGGAGACTTTTGAGTCTCAGTGTAAGTTGTCTTGTCAACGTTTGAAAATATTAAGGCCTGGGGCCCTAGGCAGGAGCCGAGGGCAGCCCCCATGACCTGAGAACAGTCAAAACAAGGAGTGAGCATGCTGGGAGCACACCAAAAACACCACTTCCATAGGTGTCCCACCACAGCCTCTGCTACAGCCACAGCTGCCACAAAATTGGCTCACTGCCACAGTAGTAGCCACAGCCCCCATGCAGGCAGCCCACCAGACACTTGACTGCATTGACACAGGAGAGTCACCAGAGGAAGCTGGAAAAAGAAGAGAAAGTCTCTTTCCTCAAAGCCCAGTATAGAGTAATAGAAGAAGCAACTGCTCTACCAGATGACCAGACATCAACACAGAGTTACTAGAAATATGAAAAACCAAGAAAATGTGACACCACCAAAGGAATACAATAATTCTCAAGTACCAGACCCCATAGAGCAGGAAACCCTTGAATAGACTGAAAAGGAATTCCAAGCAACAATCTTAAGGAAATTCAATGAAATACAAAAAGACTCAGACAACACAACAAAATGAGAAAAAGTATCCAGATTATGAAGGAGGAAATTTAGAAAGAGATTAATACCTTAAAAAAGAATGTAGCAGAACTCCTGGAACTGAAGGATTCTTTCAGCAAAATAAAAAACACAACAGAGAGCTTAAGCAGCAGGTAAGAGCAAGCAGAACAAAGAATTTCTGATCTTGAAGATGGTCTTTTCAGAATAACCTACACAGAACAAAAACAAAAGAAAGAAAAAAGAATTTTCAAAAATGAAGAAAATCAGGGGCCAGCCCATGGCTCACAAAAGAGAGTGTGGTGCTGATAACACCAAGGCCATGGGTTCAGATCCCATATAGGGATGGCTGATTAGCTCACTGGGTGAGGGTGGTACTGACAACATCAAGTCTAGGGTTAAGATCCCCTTACCAGTCATCCTTAAAAAAAAAAAAATAAAAAGAAGAAGAAGAAAATTTAAGAGACTAGCAGATAACCTGACGTGCATATACCTCTGAATCATGGGTGTTCCAGAATGGGAGGAGAAAGGAAAAGTCATTGAAAACCTATTCAATGAAATAATAGCAGAAAACTTTCCTGGTATAGGGAGAGGGACAGAACTTCACATCCAAGAGGCTCGAAGATCCCCAAACAGATTCAATCCAAAAAGCTCCTCTGACGTTATAGTCAAACTAGCAAAGGTCAAAGACAAAGACAGAGCCTTAAAAAACAGCAAGAAAAAAGTGTCAAATCACCTATAAGGGAGTCTGCATCAGACTAACAGCTGACCTCTTAACAGAAACACTACAAGCCAGAGAGAAAGGGATGATATGTTCAAAATACTAAAAGAAAGAAACTGTCAGTCAAGAATACTATACCCAGCAAGGATAACCTTTGTAGATGAGGGAGAAATCATGTATTGCCCAGACAAACAAAAACTGGAGTTCACCACCACATGACCACCCATATGAGAAATCCTCAAGAGAGTCTTGCATATGGAATTTGAAAACCAATAATCACTACCATGAATACATGAGAAAGAAGAAAACCCACTGGTAGAAAAAAATGCAAATGAGTCAGAGAAAGAAACTGTATCTTACCACCTCAAAAAATCAACAAATGCTAAAATGATAAAAGGGGAAGGAACAAACAAGATATTTAATACATCCAAATGAAAATCAATAAATACCAATAGTAAGACAATACCTTTCTATAACAACCCTAAATGTAAATGGATTAATTTCCCCACTCAAATGACACAGACTGATTGGATTAAAGAGACCCCGTATATGCTGTCTTCAGGAGACTCACCTTGCCTGGAAAGACATACACAGATTAATAGTGAAGGGATGGGAAAAGATATACCACACAAATGGAAACCAAAAATGAGCAGGAATATCTATTCTTATATTAGATAAAATAGACTTTAAAACAAAAACTATTAAAAGAGACAAAGAAGGTCATTATTTAATGATAAAGGGTTCTATCCAGCAAGAAGACATAACAATCATAAATATATATGCACCCAACATTGGAGTACCCAGATATATAAAGCAAACACTATCATTACATGTAAAGAAAGAGAAAGACTCCAATACGATAATAGTTGGGGACCAAAACACCCCTCTCTCAGCATTGGACAGATCATCTAGGCAACAAATTAACAGAGAAACATAGGATTTAAACTATACCTTAGAACAATTTGACCTGGCAGATAGCAACAGAACATTTTATGCAACAACTACAGAATACACATTTTTCTCATCAGCATATGGAACATTCTCCAGGATAGACCACATGTTAGGTCACAAATCAAGTCTCAACAAATTTTTAAAAATTGAAATCATTTCAAGTATCTTTTCAGACCACAATGGATTAAAACTAGAAATCAATAACAAAAAAAACTCTGAAAACATTACAAATACATGGAAATTAAACAGCATGCTTCTGAACAACCTATGGGACTGAGAAGAAATTAAATAGGAAATCAGAAAATATCTTGAAACTAATAAAAATAGACACATCATACTAAAATCTGTGGAATGCTGCAAAAGCAGTACTAAGAAGGAAGTTTGTTGCAATGAACACATCAAAATAATAGATTTCAAATAAACAAGCTAATGTTATATCTCAAAGAACTAGAAAAATAAGAACAATCCAATCCCAAAGCTAGTAGATGGAAAGAAATAATTAAGATCAGAGCAGAACTAAATGACATAGAAAACCAAAAAATGATATAAAAGACCCATGAAATAAAAAGTTGTTTTTTTGAGATTAACAAAATAGACAAGCCATTAGCTAGGCTAACTACGAAAAAGAAGAGAGAAGACCCAAAGAACAAAAATCAAAAATGAAAAAGGAGACATCAAAACTGATAACACAGAAGTACAAAGAACCATTAGAGATTACTATAAACAACTGTATGCCAAAAAATATGAAAACCTGGAAGAAATGGATAAATTTCTGGAGTCATACAAACTGCCAAGACCGAACCAAGAAGAAAAAGAAAACCTGAACAGACCAATAACAAGCATTAGATTGAAGTTGCAATCTGCAGTTTCCCAACAAAGAAGAGCCCAGGACAAAGGGGCTTTACTCCTGAATTCTAAGAGGCCTTTAAAGAGGAATTAATACCAGTTCTCTTCAAAGTATTCCAAGAAATTGAAACAGAGGCCATTCTCCCAAACTCATTCTAAGAGGCCAGCATCACCCTGATACCCAAACCAGACAAAGAGACAACAAAAAAAGGAAAACTACAGACCAATATCTCTGGTGAACATAGATGCAAAAATCTCCAACAAAATATTAGCAAACAGAATACAGCAATACATCAAAAAACTTACACACCATGACCAAGTGGGATCCATCCCAGGGATGCAAGGATGATTCAACACAGCCAAGTCAATAAACATGATACATCACATCAACAAAATCAAGGACAAAGCTGTATGATTATCTCAATAGACACAGAAAAAGCATTTGACAAAATTCAACCTCTCTTCATGATAAAGACTCTCAGCAAATTAGATATAGAAGGAAAGTCTCTCAACACAATAAAAGCCATATATGACAAACCCACCACCAACATCATCCCGAATGGGGAAAAGCTAAACACTTTTTCCTTAAGAATAGGAAAAAGATGAGGATGCCCACTCTCACCACTCTTTGGGGTTTTTTTGTTGTTGTTTTTTGTGACTGGTAAGGGGATTGTAACCCTTGGCTTGGTGTCGCCCGCACTGTGCTCAGCCAGTGAGCGCACCAGCCAACCCTATATAGGATCCGAACCCGCGGCCTCAGCGCTTCCAGCGCTGCTGCATTCCCAGCACTGCACTCTACCGAGTGAGCCACGGGGTTGGCCCTCTCACCACTTTTATCTACCATAGTATTGGAAGTACTAGCCAGAGCATTCAGGGAAGAGAAAGAAATAAAGGGCATCCAGATTGGAAAAGATGAAGTCAAATTATCCCTGTTTGCAGATGACATGATCCTCTATATAGAAAAATCTGAAGACTCTACCAAAAAACTCTTAGAACTGATAAATGATTTCAGTAAAGTTGCAGGATACAAAATCAACATGCGAAAATCAGTAGCTTTCTGTATACTCCAACAATGAACCAGCAGAAAAAGAAACCAAAAAAGGAAGCCCATTTATAGTCACCAATAAATAATAAATAAAATACCTAAGGATCAATTTAACCAAGGAGGTGAAAGATCTCTACAATGAGAACTACAAATCACTGCTGAGAGAAATTAAAGAGGACACAGAAAGATGGAAAGACATTCCATGCTCTTGGATTGGAAGAACCAACATTGTGAAAATGTCCATCTACATTATCAGATGTACAGATCTACAGATCAATGCAATCTCCATCAAAATACCAATGACATTCTTCACAGAAATAGAAAAAATAATCCTAACATTCATATGGAACAAGGAAAGACCTGAAATAGTCAAAGCAATTCTCAGCAAAAAAATAAAGCTGGAGGCATTAAATTGTCTGACTTCAAATTATATTACAAGCTATATTAACCAAAACAGCACGGTACTGGCATAAAAAAAGACACTCAGACCAATGGAACAGAATAGATAACCTAGAAATCAACCACTTGCATTCTTATAGCCAACTGATCTTTGACAAAGGCAACAAGAATATACACTGGGGAAGGGATGGCTTCTGTAATAAGTGGTGCTGGGAAAACTGGGCAACCATATGTAGAAGAATGAATCTGGACCTGTACCTCTCACTAAAAGTCAAATCAAAATGCATTAAAGTCTTATATATAAGACCTGAAACTATAAAACTACTAATAGAAAACATAAGGAAAACACATCAGAAAGTAGGACTGGGCAAATACTTTATGAACAAGACTCCAAAAGCACAAGTAACAAAAGGAAAACTAAACAAATGGGATTATATCAAACTAAAAAGCTTCTGTGCAGCAAAAGAAACAATTAACAGAGCAGAAAGACAACCTACAGAATGCAAGAAAATATTTGCAAACTATGCATCTGACAAAGGATGAATATCTAGAATATACGAGGAACTCAAACAACTTAACAGTAAAAAAACAAGTAACCCAATTGAAAAATGGGCAAAGGAGCTGAATAGGCATTTCTCAAAGGAAGATACACAAATGGCCAATAGACACATGAAAAAATGCTCAAAATCAGTAAGAATCAGGGAAATGCAAATCAAAACTACATTGAGATACCATCTCAGTCCAGTTAGACTGGCCAGTATCAAAAAGACAATAACAAATGCTGGCAAGGATGTGGAGAAACAGTAACCCTCCTACAATGTTGGTGAGTAAATTAGTGCACCTATTATGGAAAAGGAGGTTCCTCCAACAACTACAGATAGAACTGCCATATGATACAGCAGTCCTGCTGCTGGGTATATACCCAAAGGAATGGAAATCATATCGCAGGGATATCTACACTCCCATGTTTATCACAGGTGTATTTACAATAGCTAAGAGTTGGAACCAACCTAAATGTCCATCAATGGACGACTGTATAAAGAAAATGTAGAATATATACACAGTGGAATACTACTCTGCCATTAAAAGGAATGAAATTCTGCCATTCACAGCAGCATGAATGAACTTAGAGAAAATTATGTCAAGTGAAATAAGCCAGGCACAGAAAGAGAAATACATGTCCTGACTCATAAGTGAGGGAGGGGAGGGGAGGGAAGGAAGGGAATGGAAAGGAAAGGAAAGGAGGGAGAGAAGAAGGAAGGAAGGAAGGGAAAGGAAGAAAAAAGAAAGACAGAAAAAGGAAGAACAATTACAATAATTCCTTGAACTCTTAAAAGGAGAGAGTGGAACTGAGGACAACAGAGGTGGAAAAGGGAGTGGGGGAGGGGCGATTAGGGAGAAATTGGTAAAGTCCACAACAAATGTTTACATTGTGTAACGATAAAAAAATAAAAATAAAATAAAATCAGAGTGTAACCCAAAGAGGAGAGATTTACTTTCAGCTGCTTCATTTCTGTGAATTAAACTAATTTCTAAACTAATAATAATAATAATAATAATAATAATAAAAGAAGTTTGGAAATATTAAGCATTATATTATTCCCTTACAGAAATTTGTAATATTAAAATATTTAAAAAGTTTTACCTAGGATTTAACTCAGGAACTCTGCTTTTAGATACTTTTTCATAGGAAATAATCAGAGGCATTGAAAGAACTAGCAATGATGCTTATTGAAGCAGTATTTATAAAATATTGGAAATAACCATAACTTTCAACAATTGCAGGTATGTTGAATAGATCACGATATTTCCATTTGATAGGACTCTGTAAAATTATTACAAATGTTGTCATGTAGGGCCGGCCCCGTGGCTCACTCAGGAGAGTGCAGCGCTGGTAGCGCCGAGGCTGCGGGTTCGGATCCTATATAGGGGATGGCCGGTGCGCTCATTGGCTGAGCGTGGTGCAGACCACACCGTGCTGAGGGTTGCGATCCCCTTACCGGTCACAAAAAAAAAAAAAAGAAAAAAAAATGTCATGTGAGAAGATTACTGGCCTCTGACAATCATGATAAAAACACAGGCTTCACAACAGCAGACAGAATGTAATTCCAATTTTGTAAAAGGATGTATATGGGGATCTTCAAAACATTAATGGAAAGATTCATATTATCTTTTAATTCCATATTTCCACAAGTGTTTTGAAGTACCCCCATATGCATAGAAAAGTTATAAAGGATATATACCCAAATGTTAATAGTGAGTAATGATGGTGGCATTATGAGTGAAAAGAATTTTCTTCTTTGGTCTTTTTCTATATTTTTCAAAGTTTTCTATATTGAACATAAATTAGCTTTATTATCTGAAAAGGCTGAATAAATAACATATATTTTAAAAATAATTTAAATTACCCTTTTAGAAAAAAGAACAGCTCTTCTTAATAGAATAATGCCACCTAATTAATGTATAAAAAACCCAGCAATTTGAAAATCACCCTTCTGCAACTCCTCATTTGAATAACTGATACAGGAAAGAATCATCAGCGTATGCTGAAATCGTTGGGTGAAAGTGCATTGGAGATAGGATATTCACAAAGTCTCAAATTGTTACTTCACAGATTACCTAATAACAAAGGGGAAAATGTACCTTTGCAATGGAGAGAAATGGCAGTCACCTCCTTAACCAAAGGACCAAAATGATCAGCATCCAAAGTGAGGGAACACAATGTTCCCCAATGTTAGAAGACAGGAAATACACATCACCTACATAGTATTCTTGCCAAAAATGTTTATCCCGAATCCCATTATGAAGAAACAATGGATAAATCTAGGAAGTGGGGCATTTTACAGCACAACAGGCTTTCATTCTTCAAAAATGTTTGTGTCATGGAAAACAACAACAACAAAAAAGGTGACGGGGCTGTTTCTGATGGAAATAACTAAAAACGTGTGAACTAAAGAAACCACAAACCTTGATTGAAATCTGGATTTTTAAAAACTGTGAAACACATTTGAGTACAATTGGAAAAATCTAAATATGGACTGATATTAGTTAATATTAAAAATTATCTTTAATTTTCTTCGCTGTGGTGATGTTGATGATGAGGAAGGATGTCCTTCTACTTAGGAGAGTGGTACTGAAATATTTAAGGACAAAGTGTTGTGATGTCTGTAATTACTCATAAACAGCTTATTAAAAATGTACAAATGTAAGGTAAACGAGGCAAGATGCTCATTGCTGAATATAGGTGAGAAGTATACAGGTAGGTGTTCATTATTTCAACATTCTTGTAGATTTGAAATTTGCAAAAATAAAAGTTGGGACAAAAGTATTTGGCAAATCATAAAATACTCTATAATTATGACACTATGATTAGTAGTAACAATTAAAGTATTTAGGAAAAAAGAAAAAATTTCTTACCATGTGTGGACAGTACAGAGAGGCAGGTTGGTTTCGTTTTATATGGACTGCAATATTTCCTTCCTCTCCTAAAGGCAGTATATTTGCGTTTTCATCCACAATCTGAGATTAGATAACCATTAAAGAAAATTTCCTTATAAAACATTTGTGCTTTTCCTAAAACACCACAAGTCTAAACATAAGGCTTACTACCCCCGTTCAAGATGCAAGAAAACCGCTTGGTTGGTGTATGCAGATACTGGGCAATCTAAGAGGAAGTGTGTTCGGTGGTCAGTGTGAAGGTGCCAGAGTTGGAAAGATCTGGGTTTGAATCTCTATTTGCCACTCTCTGATCCTGATAACCTTGGATTGTTTACTTCCATGAACCTCAATTTCCTTATCTAGAAAATCAGAGTTTTAAAAGTGTGCCTACTATACAGCTTTGTTGTGAGGATGAAATCAGATGATACGGGTGAGGGCTCCAGTGACTGGTTATTACAAAATTATAAGAAAACAAGCTTCTAGGGAAGTCCTTTCAAACCAGGACACTTGATTGTCCATCTAATGTATAAGAAAAGAAATATAAATAACGTAAAAGTTTTAAAATAGAGATCTGGCAGTTTTGTAACAGTCTGGGAGGTGGTGATATTTTTTTCCTATTAAGGATTAGAGGGCAGATTAGGAGTAAAGTACAGCTTGAAAATATTGAGTTATTTTAGCTGAATGGCTTCATTATTGACCTAAAATACAAGGCATGACCATGAAGTAATGTGACAGAAGTTAAGAAATACACTGAGATCAACTTTGAAGGCTATAACCTTTCAAGTCACTACCGTGGAGAGCAATATTCATACCCATTTTGAATTTATTATCCTTGTTGAATACTTTGGAAATATTCTATAGGAACTGCCGGCCCTAAGGACCAGAAGGTCTTCAGTGGTAGTAAATCTTTGTACTTTAAAGGCAAACTTTTATTTTTTAGAAAAGAAGAGTCTTTAAGAACAAAATCTAGTAAATTAGAATTATCTGAAAAGCATGTTTTAAAACAAAATTTTAAGAAATTGTATTAAATGGAATTTTCTTAATTTTATTTTTTGGATTGTTCATTGATAATATATAGAAATACAATTCATTTTTATATATTAATCTTATGTCATACCACTTTGATGAACTCATTTATTAGCTCTAATAGAGTGTGTGTGTGTGTGTGTGTGTGTGTGTATTGTCATACCACTTTGATGAACTCATTTATTAGCTCTAATAGAGTGTGTGTGTGTGTGTGTGTGTATTGCTTAGGATTTTCTATATATAAGATCATATATCATCTGTGAATAGAAAGAGTTTTACTTCTTCCTTTCCAATTTGGATACTATTTCTTTTTCTTAACTAATGGCCTGGATATAACCTCTATATTGAATAGAAGTGGCAAGAGTGAGCAACCTTGTATGTCCTCATCTTAGGGGGGAAACTTCCAGTCTTTCCCTATTGAGTATGATGCTAGCTGTGGGTGTTCTATTTTGTTTTGTTCATTTATTTATGTGGAAAAAAGAACTATTAAAAATGAATTAGAACAGTCTAAGCAAAAATTTGGCAAAGGACATGAGCAGACAGGTCACACACCCCTAAAAACACATGTGGCTAAGATCTAGTTGCAGGTGGGGGTGTGGCTGGCCCTCAGCCCCGATACAGTTTAGTTGTTACTGTTCCTCTAAAACTCATGTGGAAATCTGATCCCCAATGTGGCAGTGTTGGGAGCTGTTTGTCATGGGGACAGATCCCTCATGAATGGATTAATGCTATCCCTGGGGGGTGAGGGTAGTGAGTGAGTTCTTGCTTTATTAGTTTCCAGGGGAGCTCGTTGTTTAAAAAGACCTGGCACCTACCTCCCCCACTACCCTTGCTTCCTCTCACTGTGTGATCTGCTTGTACTGCCAGTTGCCATGAGTAGAGGCAGCCTGAGACCCACACCAGATGCAGCTGTCCCAGAACTGTGAGCCAAACAAACCTCTTTTCATTAAAAATTACCCAGTTTCAGGTATTCTGTTATAGCAACACAAAACAGATGAATACAGCCCCATCTCGGGACCCCTGGGCATCTCGGTGGGCTCCTTAG